ATAATAAATTTATATTAAGGGGAGAAATAAAGTAACCTTAAGGGTTATATTATTAAGGTAATAAAGCAGCTTATTATTGTTATTATTATTAGCAATAATTATATTAAAGCTGCTATATTAATTATTAAAACCTATAATAAAAGCCATTTTTTATTCTTTTTCTTATATAATAAGAAGGGAGTAAGTATTAAGGAGGATATTAAAAAATTAAAAGGGTATTAATAAGTTAAGGGAAGAGTATTTAATAGGTATAATATAAATAAAGAAGGGTGCGTTAAGGAATTATTAAGGGATTAAAAGAATATTAATATATTAAAGTAATGGCTTTTTAATAAAAAAGGGTAGCTATAAGGAAAGCATAATAAGCGTAAGAAAGAATAGCTAAAGGATTGAATTATAAAGAGGCTAAGGAATTATATAAGTATTAATTATATTAAGAAAGGCTTCTTAGCTAAGAGTAAGATAAAGTTAAGAGGTAATTAATATAAATAAAGAAATAATTATAAGGATAATAAAAAGGTTATATAAAGGCAATAAAATAATATATATAATAAATATATTATAATAATAATATAATATTAAAAAAAAGAAATTATAAAGAGGAATATAATTATAGGAAAGTTATCTTAAATAGCAATAATAAATATAATATAAGGGTAATAATTATAATAAGCAATATTAATATATTAATAAAAGCGCGTTATAACTTAATGCTAGCAATATATATAACTTATGCATAATTATAATATATTAATAAAAGATTATATATATAATAGCAATATTATTATATTATAATAGCTTATAATATATATAATATATACTTTATATTGCATTATATTAAGCATAGCATATAAATATAATTAATATAAGAATGAAATGAATAATTATTGCTCTTAAGGTAGATAAATATAGCCTTAAAATGGGTATATAGTAGGGTAGATATATAATTAGCATAAAATTATAAGAGCCTTGGGTTTAATCCCTATTACGCATAATATAAGAGTGGGAAGGGGGCTATGTAATGGGCTTAGGTTATTGCTTAAGCTGTAATGCATAACCATGCCGGGCTTATATTGCACCCAACTCTTTTACATAATGGGGTATATATATTTAAAAGATAAATCTAGAGTTGGGCTTTTTTAAAGCTTAACTTACTTCTTAAATATTGCAATTCATAACTCCTTTTGGGTACCTTCCAGCAGACGCTCAAGACCAACCCATAATAAAGGAGAAGGTTTGCTCCCTGTGTGCATTTGCGTTGAAGCTTATTTTTATAGGGCTAAAGCCCATTAATTAATTATAATGAGCAAAGCTTAAACCATAATATATTCTCCTTCTTTAAGTCCTTATAACGGGCCTTAAAGAGCAGCTATATAATAAAAAATAAAGGATATTATAATTTAATTATAAATTAAATATTACTTTTTACCTAGCCATTTAATTATACCTTAGCGCCTTTTAATTATATTAAAGGCCTAGCTTATTATTTATAATTAGCACGCTTTAGCCCTTATAATTTAATATGCTAATTAAAATAAGTTAATAAGAGATAATTATTTAAGTATAAGCTAGCAATTAAATTAATGGCATTTTTATAATCCTTTAATATAAGTTTTTTATATAAGCTTCTTTACTTAAAACCTTAAAATTATAAATTTATTATATAATTTATAATTAATTAGCGCTTAATTATAAGCAATTTATTTTATTAATAAGGATTTCTTAAATTTTAAGCATTTTTATAGCGCTAAATTAGCTAGCATATAGCTAGCCTACTTTAAGCCTGGGTTAACATTAAGTTAGCAATGCTTTTAAGCCTTACTTTATAAAAAAAAAATTACGCCCCTTTAAATAAACTTCTTTTCTTTATTAACCTTAATTAATAAAAGTTATACCCTTATTTTCTTATAACGATTTAAGTATTTATGCTTATAATAGCTAAGTTAATTATATATAAAATACTTAACTTTGCTTATTAAAATCGCTACAATATTAATATTTATTGCTTTATTATTTTAAGGTTAAGTATTATCTTCCCTTGCTATAATATTAAAAACACCCTTATATTACTATAAGGTAAAGCAAAAGGCCTTAAATATATTTAGCTATTCCTTATAATTAAGCTAAGCTTTTATTATAAAAATTAAGTTATTAATTATTAATAATATTTTATATTTATTTAGCTAACTTTAAGTCTTTATTATATAAGTTAATTAATTAAATTAAGTAAGAAATTTTGCTATTCCTTTTTTATGGCATTGCTATAACGTAATTAAGCTAAGCTTAATATATTTTCACTTAAAAAGATTCTTAAGCATAAGGCAAACTTTCTTTAAGAAGCTCTTTAATTACCCTTTAAATATCTTTATAAAATTAATATAAGGTAAAAATTAATTATGGAAAGTTTCTAGCTAATTAAATATATAATAAAATTAAGCCCCTTTAATGTTAATTACCTCCCTATTTATTATAAACTTAGCTCTTATTTTTATTAATTAAGTTGCTAAGTATTCTTAAGATAAAAGTTTCTTAAGATAAAAAAAGGCTTAATAAATTATTATTATTCTTTTTAAGTCTTGCTATATTAAGTTTTATATAATTGCATTATGGGTTTGTAATGCAAAAGGACTTTAAATATATATTATAGGCTAGCCTTGGGTTATTTACCGTAAGGTACTTAAATAAGGGTTTATATTTAAAGTGCAAAGGAGAAGGTTCGCTCCCTGTCTGCACCTGCATCAAAGCCTATTCTTATAGGGCCAAAGCCTACTAACTAATCACAATGAGCAAAGCTTAAACCGTAACATTTTTAAACTTATTTCTTGCTTTAAATTATTATTTAAAAAGCATTTTCTCTTTAATAAAATTATCTTTAAGCATAAGGTTAATTTTAAACTTGTAATAAAAATATATTAATATAAATATAAGGCTTAGCTTATTATAAAGAGCTTTTAATAAGAAATAAGCATTAATTATAAAGAAATCTTTATTATTATTATTAAGTCCTCCTTATATAAAACCCTTATTACCATTTTTACTGCTTTAAAATGGCTTGTTTATCTTATAAATATTAAGACTGCTTTTCTTTATAGCGTTTTAAACGTCTTAATTTATATAAAGCCTCCTGCTGGCTTTAAAATTCCCAAGAATAAAGTTTTTCTCCTTTAAAAAGCTTTATATAAACTAAAGTAATCTTTATATATTTAATATAAAACTTTATTTAATACCTTTATATAAAACTTTAGCTTTTATATTTTTATATATAATTAATATAACTTTATTTAAAATAATATTATCATTATTATATAAGTTAATAACTTATTTATTAATACTTTAAATAAGGATAAAGCTGCTTATTTTAAATAAGTTATATATTAATAATTTAAAATAATTAATAAAGGTTTTTATACCTTTTATTTTAATATAAATATAAAATAAATTAATAATAAGATCCTTTTTTATTAAATTTATTATATTAATACTTATATTAAGCGCTTTAAGCTAAAAAAGCTTTCCTTTTAATAAATTTTTTTCCGCTTAATATTAAGTTAGTTTTAAACTTTAAGTAAGCCTTAAAAAATAATATTATTTATTTTTCTTTTTTTATTAACTCTAAGAATTAACTTATTAATTAAACTTATTTTAATATTATATATATTATTAACCTTTTATTATACTTTATTTTTAATTTTTTATAAAAATATATTAACGTTATATATTATATTTAAAAGTATTTTATATTAATTAAATATTATAATATTATTTATTAATAAATAAAATTATTTAATCTTTTTAATTATTTTAACTTTAATTATATTATATATTTTAAAATGTAATAATTATTATAAGCTTGCTTTAAGTTATTTATTATAAAGTGCTTAAATAAGATTTATATTTAAAATGCAAAGGAAAAGATTTACTCTTTATTTATATTTATATTAAAGCTTATTTTTATAAAGTTAAAGTTTATTAATTAATTATAATAAGCAAAGCTTAAATTATAATATATCTTTCTTTTTTAAATTTTTTTAATAAGCTTAAAAAAATAATTATATAATAAAAAATAAAACATATTATAATTTAATTATAAATTAAATATTATTCTTTACTTAATTATTTAATTATATTTTAATACCTTTTAAATATATTAAAAACTTAACTTATTTTTTATAATTAATATATTTTTAATTCTTATAATTTAATATATTAATTAAAATAAGTTAATAAGAAATAATTATTTAAGTATAAGTTAATAATTATTAATTAATATTAATTAAATTAATATATATTTATTAATAATAAATTAATTATATTTAAATTAATTATATAAAAAAAGAAAGATTATAATTATAAGTTATAAAATCTTTTTTTTAATTATAAATTATTTAAAAGTAATTATATATTATTATATATAATCCTTATTTATTAATGCTTTAATATTAATTACTTATAATGCTTATTATATTTAATGTTATTATTTCTTTATAATATATTTATAATTATAATATTTATATTAAATTAATAATTAATATAATTCCCACCAGGTTAATGTCACACACAAATTGGAAACATCATGTTTTACTTACACCCGGCATGATCAATGGGAGTATTTTGGGCCTGGTCACCACACCTGGGTGCATCATTAACAGCATCAACAAACAAAACAGTACTTGGTGACGTGGTATCTTTGGTTCGACTTGTAGCATCAGTCATGGAAAGCACCGGCCGTGGACAGCGTTAGTCTTGGAGAGCATCATTAATGAACAGCATCAATTACAGACTATCAATCAGAGTGCCAATCACAAAGTGTTAATCACAGAGTGTTAGTTACAGAGTATCAATCACTGTTAGGTGTGGATTTAAGACATCAGGCATGCCTTCTAGGCAGCCGAGGGCGCCGCAGGACAAGTCTGAGGCACCGGGGGAAGCCTGCGGCCTTATCCTGAAAATGAGCGTCCGGGCTCCGTAGCAGGACAAAAATGAGTACGAAGCGGAATGAACCTGATATAGTGTAGCGGTGAGCACGTGGGATTTTGATAAATTATCTCTTCCCGAGTCCCCGGTTCGAACCCGGGTATCAGGTTATTGTTAAAGATGTGAGGTTTTTTTTTTTCAATTTCTTTTCTTGTACTTTTTTTCTCTTTTTATTATTTGGGGAAGGGGGGGCGGGGGAAGGGGGTGGCTATCTTGGTGATGTTTATTTCTAACTGTGGCCCTGTGTTGGGAGGAACAATATATCGGGCCTGTGGCATGAAACACAGATGTTTGGTCTTGAACATATGTTCCCAACTCCCCAGTTCAAACTCGGGCAGAACCTGCCCTTCTTTTGTGTCCTGGTGACATTCTTACTTTGGTGGTCGACAATTTAAATTGGCATGTTCGGTCAGTTCCCGCTTGTGTTTTTTGCCATTCAAAATGTTATGGCTACGGCATTGAATTGCCTGCTGGCCATGGTGGCGTGGTTGGCGAGGCTATCACCACCTGGGATTGCCCCTTCCTAAGGATTAGCTCGTTGTTTGCAAATACAGTGCGTTCACCATCTCTAAAAGTTTGGGATAATATCAACCAATTTTTGTATTCATTGCCTTGCATCTCTAAGGTGTGCTTATGATCAGTTCGTTCCCTACAACCAGTTAAGTTTTTCAAGGCTTTTGAAATAACCAAAACATTGGGGGCAGCACGAGCTGAATAAGCAAATTACAACGCGCCAGGAGCACGCTAGGAGCACCTCAGGCACATCTTATCTCTAACATACAAACCTTATCCAGCCCGCATAACTTAGCGCATTGCTAAATGCAAACTCCTTATTAAATTCCGGTAAAAAGTTTATTAAGCTTTATATAATTATGGTTAAGAAGGGGAGAGATATTATATAAGCAGAGTTGTAAAGATATAAAAAATATAAAATACAAGATATAAATATAAATATAAATACATAAAATTTTAAAAATATAAATATATATATAAATATATAAAATTTTAAAAATATAAAATATAAATATAAATATAAAAATATAAATATAAATATAAATATATATATTTAAATACATAAATATAAAATATAAATATAAAATACATTATATATAAATATTAATTAATTAAATCTAATATAAATTCTTTTAAAATAAGCTTAAAACTAACTATTTAAGTATATTTCTTTTAATTTTATAGCTTTTTTTTAAAAAAGATATTACATATAATATAAAAGTACTTTTTTTTAAAAAAAAGCTTATCTTCTTATTTAAGTCTTATCTTATCTAAGTTTTTTTCCCCTTAAATATAAAGTATTTATAGCTTTTTAGTAAATTTAAATATAAATAAATAAAAATATATTTAAAATGCTTAAATTAAATAAAATTTAATTAAAATTTCTTTCTTTTTTAAAATAATAAAATTTAAATTAAATATTATATAAATTTAAAAATTTAAAAATATAAATATAAATAAATATATAAATATAAAATACAAGGCTTATATAAATATAAATATAAATATAAATATAAATATTAAATATAAATATAAATACATGTATTTATATATTTTATATTTTTAAATATAAAATACATAAATATTATTATAACTTTATATATAAGTATTAAAGGTTTATAATTAAATTATAAATATTATTATAACTTAAAAATTAAAATATAATAAATAAATAATAATTTAATTAAATTATTATATAATTTAATTTTTATTAATTTTTAATATAAATTTTAAAGTTTATAAATTAAATAATTATTTTTATATATTATTTTTATTATTTTTTAACCTTTTTATATTAAAAGTATAATTAATATTTTATTAAATAACTTAAATATTTTATTTTTTTAATTTTTATATTATTTATAAATATTTAATTATATTATTTACTTTTAATTTCCTTAAAATTAATATATAAAGTAATTTATTAAAAAGCTTATTTAATAATAATAATAAAAATTTTAATAAAAAATATTATTTAAAAAGAAATATTAAAAAATGTTATTTTAAAAAATTAAAATTATAAATAAAGTTATATAAATTTACTTATTATAATAAATATAATAAATAATAAATAAATATATAATCTTTAAAGTTTTTATTTAAATTATTAATTAATTTTTATTATATAATATATTATATATATATATATTATATTATTTAATATATTATTAAAAAAAGCTTTTATATAATAATTAAATAAAGTTAATATATAAAGATAAATAAAATAATTAATTTTACTTTAATATAATAATTATATATAACTTAATTAAATATTATTTTTATATTAATAATCTTTTATTTTATAATTATATATTATATTATAATTAAATAAATAAGTTATATTATTTATATAATTACCTTTTAATTAAAACACTTTTTTATTATATTTAAATTATATTATATTTCTATAGCTTTTAATATATTTTTTACCTTATATATTAAAGCTTTTAATATACTTTTAATATACCTTTTAACCTTTTTTTATTATGTTTTTTATTAATGTTTTTGTTTTTTTTATAATAATTATTTATATATAAAAATATAAGTTATTTTTTTATTATATAATTATATTTTTAATATACTTTTAATTTTACTTTTTATTTATTTTTTTTATTTATATAATATATTTAATTCTTTTTAAATATAAAAGTAAATATAAACTTATAATTATATTTTTTATTATTTATAAATAAAACTTAGCATTTTATTAACTTTTAATTAATTATTTTATATTTTTTAAAATATTTAATTAATTTAATTAAATTTTTATTATTTACCTTTTTATTTATAATTATTCCTTTAATAATTATAAAAGTTTTAACTTTCTTAAAATATTTTTTATAACTTTTAAATATAATTATAAATATATTAATTTATTTAATAATAAAAGATTTAACTAAAAATAGTTTTTTAAAATTATTTTTACTTTAAAAAAAACTTATTTATTATATTTAATATTTATTTTTATAATTATTAATATTACTTTTATTAACTTAATTAATTTATATAATAAAGTATATTTTTTTTATTAACTTATTTATTTTAATATTAATTATAAATATATTTAATATATAATAATTATATATATTATATTTTTATTAAATATTTATTTTTAAATAATTTTATATAAAAAAGTAAGATTATATTATTTAATAATATAAATTATTTTATATTTATAAAAATAAAAATAAATTTTATATATATATATATATATAATTTAAAAAATAATAGCTTTATATTATTTATTTTAAGTAATTTATATTTATATATTTAAATTATATAATAAAAGCATTTAAATATAATGCTTAATAATATTAAATTAAATATAACTTTATTTATAATAAATTAACTTAATATTAAGCTTAATAATATATTAATAATATTAATATAAATAAATATATTTAATATTAAAACTTTTAATATATATTAATAACTTTTAATATAATATTAATTTATAAAAAATTAAATAATTCTTATTTAAAGCTTTATATAATAAATTTAATTATAATTATTTATAATTTACATTATTTCTTATTTATTAAGAAAATTATTATAATTTTAATTTAATAAAAAAACTTAAAAAAATATAAATAATTTATAATTATTAATAAAGCTTAATTTTTCAAGCTTTATAATTATTTATAATTATTTATTTATAATATTAAATTATTTAAAAAGCTTAAAAAATTAGCTTTATTTTTTTAAAAAATTAAAAAAAAAGTTTCTTTTTTTAATATTAAAATATTAAAATATTTATATTTTTATTTATATTTATAATATTTTTAATTAAGAAATTAAATAGCTTTTAATTATTAATTAAAATAAATAACTTTTTAAAATTTAAATTAAGATTTAATAAATATAAAGCTTTATTAAAAATATTTATATTTATATTATTATTATTTTTTTAACTTTTTATTTCTTTTTATATTATATATTTAATGCTTATAAATATAATATTAATTAAATTAAATAAATTAAAATATTAATATATAAATAATTAATTATAATATAATTTAATAATTATTTATTTAATTATTAAATATAATATTTAATATTTTTAAAAAATAAAAATAATTAAAAGTTTATAATTATGTTTTTTTAATTATATTTTTAGGAAATTATAATTATTTATATTAATTATTTATAAATAAAATTTAGCATTTTATTAATTTTTAATTAATAATTTTATATTTTCTAAAAAATTTAATTAATTTAATTATTAATTTAACTTTTATATAATTAATAATAAATAAATAAAATATATAATTAATTTAATTATTATATAAAAATATTATAAATTAATTTATAATTATTTATAAAAGAATATTTACATAAAGTTTATATTTAAAATATAAAAAAAAGAAATTTATTTTTATTTATATTTATATTAAAACTTATTTTTATAAAATTAAAACTTATTAATTAATTATAATAAATAAAGCTTAAATTATAATATATATTTTATTTTTTAAAGTTTTATAATAAATCTTAAAAAATAATTATATAATAAAACATAAAAAATATTATAATTTAATTATAAATTAAATATTATTTTTTATTTAATTATTTAATTATATCTTAATATTTTTTAAATATATTAAAAGCTTAATTTATTTTTTATAATTAATATATTTTTAATTTTTATAATTTAATATATTAATTAAAATAAATTAATAAAAAATAATTATTTAAATATAAATTAAAAATTAAATTAATAATAATTTTATAATATTTTAATTTAAACCTTTTATATAAACCTTTTTATTTAAAATTTTAAAATTTTAAATTTATTATATAATTTATAATTAATTAATACTTAATTATAAATAATTTACTTTATTAATAAAATATCTTTAAATTTTAAATATTTTATAATATTAAATTAATTAATAAAAATTATATTTTTATTTTTTTATAATAATTAAAATAATTATATTTATAATATTTAACTTTATTTATTAAAATTAATATAATATTAATATTTATTATTTTATTTTATTATAATATTAAATATTATTTTATTTTATTATAATATTAAAATATTTTTAATTATTTTTTATAATTAAGTTAAATTTTTATTATAAAAATTAAATT